TTTATTATTATCATTATAGTATTCAGACAGTCCAGTTAGTCGAGCCTTTATTCCTCAACTACATTTGATAGCACGTTTAACAACTATCTGGGCGACTAGGGGCCACAGGCAAGAAATGTTTATGACTGTACTGTTCCAATTGGGAACGGATAGACTATACATATTCTGAAAAGCAGTTTCAAACAGCTGTGTCCCATTCGAATCTGACTATGAATTGTCCTAGGAATCCACCTTGTAAAAAAATAAATTATATCAAACTCATATTAGGAAATACGATTACTTAATATCGTAATTGAATAATGGTAATAAAGAATGTTCAACTGGTATCTATCTTTCGAAACGATTCCCCATCATTCTGAAGAAATGGTGCATGCGTCGAACTTCACCTTCACCGGAAAGCAAAGTAGGTAGAAATGTAACATCTGATTCTACGCTCTCTGGCTAAAGAGTCCCAGGGCTACTGTCTTCGTCTAGTACTGTCAGGTATCCCCGTTTTTCGTTTCTTACTGCCGGTGTGACCATCGTTATCATTTCCAGATCTTTCGAATTTTGCTGGGCCAAACGTCTAGTTTTCATCAATATTCTCAAGACATCTGTTAGCCTAGGGGCTTTTGGTTCACTTAATTTAATTATTTTCGTGGGGGCGTGCCTACAATTTTTTCAGGGTCATTTTCTATAAAGGGGTTGAACCAGGGTATAGCTTGTAAATCAAGTAAAAAGTAATCTAAAAAATTTGAAATCGCGATACGTTTGTTTTTGTTTGATAGCCTGGTATGCAAATTTGCAATATAATAGGCGATGGTCAGTAATGTGGTTAGCATCCAAAGTACAACAGTTCATAAATTTTTTCGAGTTGGTAGCGTGAAAAGGACGGTATATGGCACCCAGTCCTATACTTTCGACATAAAATTGTGAATTCCAGAAAAACATGTCAAGTGCATTCTGGTATGGTCGAAGTAAACGATATTGCTCACACTTAAAGTTGGCGACACTCTCAAAGTCCAAAAAACCAATACATAGAAATGAACTGGCTGCGAACTAGTCCACGTAGACTGTAGAATTGGCGATTCGTATTGGATAATTTTTACTAACCGAATTTTATGATTGACTGAAGAGTTATAGAATAAAATTTGAAGTCATGTTACGGTGATGAATAGAAATCGGGGAATGCGGGAATGATTATCGTCGTCGTGTCATCAATGTTCAGTTCAGGAACTGATCGCGATTTGAGTGTTGAAATTCGATATTGGTGCAGTTATAATTTCTTAAAATTTTTCTTATCTGTTCAAATGTGGCGTCCTTGGACAAGTACTTATACTAATAACGAGTGTGATATCAACGCAGACTTTCTCCAGTGTAGTGATTCCAATAACGATGGTGAACAATGCGAAAAAGAGATACCAGTGAATAAGATTCGGATGCATTTGAATATTGAAACACAGAAAATATGTTTCAATGTATATAAGAATCTACATCTCAACACTGTCACAAAAGCAATGAGATTCCTACAACTGAAATCATAAGGAAGAAATTGAATACTTACGGCCATAAGGTGAGTTGCTGTGACAAAACTCTTTAGAATTGCCGTCAAGCAGTTATGGAAAGCACAAGAATAGTGGAATTACGTAACAAATACTTAAAACAAATAACTAAATATAGACAAGAACAACGGCAAATTTTCTATTTGGATGAAACTTGGTATGACACTCACGACACAGTTACGAAAGGGTGAACTGATGGTTCGAAAATGTGTACGCCTAAAATTTTGTATAAAGGACGGTAAGGCTGGTGGGCGGAATCTCCAGGAATGTAGTCTCCCAATCCTATTGTTGTGAGGGATATAAAGCAATAGTAAAGAGAATCCAAATAGTCCCATTCTGGTTCCAAAGACGCAAAAATTGCAGCTGGGAGTAGCAGGAAGAATACAAGTAGTACTAAAACTGAAAAATTTAAAAGAAATATTCGAATCATTTGAAAAGGCGTAACTTCGAAAAATACTGTTCAACTAGGTTTCAAATAAATGAAAAAATGTATCAATCCTCATTCATGCGTTTTAAATAAGGGCTGGGCGTTTTGCCCAAAAAAGTTACTACGTTTGAATGAAATTCAGATAGAGAAATGAGGAATACCTCATGATGATATTATAAATAAGTTTGGATCGAAAAATCCGAAAATATCTATTTCAAAAACTGTTACTGCAAATCTATTTATGTTTTTTGACTAAACTAAACACATATGAAACAGATGGATTGAGAGATTTTAAAATTACTAAAAAAAATCCTTCCCCAGAATTCATTATCACCTGATATAGCCATTTTTATGAAGAAGATTAAAGAAGATTATTACAAAGATACAAAATTTTCACGACATGGAAGTTTTCTTCCAAATTACTACTTCTGAAGTAAATAAAGTATCAATTAACCGAAACATTATGGAAAACGTTTTCATATCTGTATCAAGTAATGACAAAGAACTTTTCTTAGATGCCAATTTCAATTTGCCATCCTTATAACCCGTTTCTTAGTATTCGTGAGGTATATAAAACGTGTGGAAATCAAAGGTTTTTTGTATAACTACATTATGAAAATTAAATCTTTTTTTCACTTTCGAAAAAACTTCTTCATTGTACGGTTAGCAAAATTTTGAGATGAAACTACTTGAATTTAATGCTTGCAATGAAAAATAATAGTAATTAAGTCCGGAAAATACAGTTTTTTTAACGAGTAGACAAAATTCTAGGACAAGTTGTGGGCGAGTCCTGGAAGTCTGCGAGTTCAAAGAAACTCTTTTTGGGCGTGTTGCTTACAGTATTTTTTCAGCAAACTTGTAGAATAACAAATTAATGAGACACATTTCTATATTATATTTCTTCGTAGAACCAAAATTTCGAACAATTCAATTCTTATTTGTGTTGAATATTGTAATTCGATCATAGCATTTAATATGTTTTATTATTTGCTTTCCTAATGAATTTGTTGATCTGCTCGCTACTGAAGACTTCTGATGTTTTAACTCTATAACCAACATTCTTCCTTTTAAAAAATCAGATAACCTTCAAAAAAGTGGCTATGTTTACATTTTTTATTTCACCAAATTCGTACTTTTCCACATATATTACAGCTCCACATGGTAGAGGATTTTACAGTTTCAGATTTTGCACCAAATATGCCAAAATTATATCCGCTGTAAAAGTCTTGCATTTCTTCATATCCATCCATTTCTGAAAGAAATCACAAACGTTTTCTAACCGGGACTTTGATTTTTCAGGCAATAATTTTGCTGTAGCAGCAGTTGCTGCATTGAAAATTTCGTTAAGTATATTTTCAAACTCACTATCCCTGCTGATTTCCATAGTTTCTTGCGACAATTGCGAATAAAATTCATATTAACTTTGGAAAATCAAAATGACAACTAATTTTATGTCATTATTTATCTTCATTTGTTGTTTCACAGGATTGTATCCGTGATTATTTCGGTTTATAATTTCGTTCATAAAGCAGTATCTTGTCTCTTTTCTATAGAAGTTCTAATTGAGAGCACTGTTTCCAGATACACACAATATACACGTGGATCTAGAAATATTCGGAAATTATTGTTTCATATCACAAAAACATATTTAGTGAAAAACTGCAACAATATTCTCGACATATTTTTCACCAACCAAGTTGAGTTCTGCTCGAGCCAAGAAGACTGATTCCTAACTCAAAAACTGTTTGGAATCGAACGCCTGTCACTGTTCATAGTTCTTATGCCACACTCAACTACTTCCAGACTTTCGAAAGCAACAACAAACTCAGTGTCATATATCGAGTTCAACAATTTCAGACAATTTTCATTTTTCTATGGAATTATTCAAGGCATGTCAAGCGACACTAGATTTTTCTAGTCTTCGAAATCGAATATGTGCTATGTGTTCTTTGAAACGAGTTTTAATGACTCGCTCATGTAACCGATATATTTTTTGGCGCAGTCCTCACAACTTATTTCATACATCTCCTACTTCCTTATTCTCCAACATCTTATCTTCAGGATTACCTAACAATTGTTGAAGTTAGCAAGAAGTTTTAAAGGCTACTTTCACGTTAGTTTTTTTTAAATATGATCTAATCTGTTAGTGTATTGGTTCATACAGAAGGACAATGAACTTTGAATCTACATCTTTTCAAAAAGTCGAAGATTTACTAAGATTCTCTCTGAATTTACGTTTCCTAATTTGAATATTTCAAGGACTTGATCCTTATATTTCACGAAATGTATTTTGGAGAGTTTCTAGAAATATCGCCAATGAAGATTGTCTCGTATTCGAACACCTGATATCTATTTGAACGAAGTCCATTTCCAAAAACAGAAGTAGTTTGAGTGTTTTTTTTTTAATTTCAGGATTCCTACGTTGTCTTCATTTAAATTTGTACACAGACATATGCGATGTTGAACCGTCAATCTAGACAGCAAGTTTCTAGATCAATCACGAAATTGACTGTAGCTAGACTTTGATGACCAAACAAGACTAGCTTCTTTTCTTCGTGAATGCCGACTTGAGTCGAATGTTCATATTTTTGGTATTTCCCTCGTTTCGGTTTGGAAAGAAACATAATTTTTTTAATTAGGTTTGTTATATTGATGCTATTTCAATTATTCTTTATTAGGATGTACTCTTCAGTTAAGCAAATATATCGAAAGAACGTGCTGGCTTTATATAGCAGGCGCAAGTATAAACAACGCAGATGGTCTTCCGACCCGTGAACATGCCACATATAATTGACCATGTGAAAAACATTGATTTTCCAGATTGAGATCACAAACTTTCAAGGATTGACCTTGTGATTCGTTAATGGTCATGGCGGATGCAAGATAAATTGGAAATTGAAGTCTTTTAAACTCAAACGGCATATCGGTTGGGATCATCGGGATCCTCGGAATGAGAACTTCCTCACCTTCGAATTTTCCCTTTGAGTATCGTCGCGAAAATCACATTGTTCATCAATTTACTTGCCACCAAACGTGTACCGATGCAAAGTTTTGGTGTGTTTATGTTTCGAAGCATGATTACTATGGAGCTAACCTTCAGGTGCGGTGGTAAGCCAGGCACATCCAAGGAGTTTAAAAATTCAATTGGATAGTTGGTGGTATATCTAATTCCTCGTGATCGTATTCACGTTCCCGTTCCAATTCTCGATTAAATGCGTCATTCATTTCACGATTTGGCGCTGGCATTTCTAACCTGACTAATAAACTACCGCACATAACGTAACACATGTCTTCGATCAAGAGTAAAACCCGACTATTGTATCTCCTCATTCATCTCTAGATCTGGATTACTTGAACTGACACGAATTTGATGTAGAATATCTTCTGACATATTATCCTTGTATTTATGCCACAGGTTAGATGGGTTCGATGAAAAGCATGTCGAAATGATAATAGCAAATAATGTGCTTATCTGACTTGGAGATGCAGAGATAATAGCTTCAACGATTGTCGTATCCCAATGGGTATCGTTTTCTAGTAAATTGAGTTCTTCACATGCAGCGCGATATGTTGGGAATATTGTAGTGACTCAAATGACGTTGGCCCACGCACATTTACCAGCAACAATCGCAAATGAAAGCATTCATCGTTTTTTGGATAAACTGTATACATACGACCAAGAGCATCAGTAGAAAGCACATCCGGATAACCAGGAACCGTATTGCCTTGCTTCCGTCGTTGAAAATTCTTCGATGAAGCATTCCAAGTGTAATAATGTGGCATCTCCGAGTAAAGTAAAGTTCGTGCAAATGGATCTCTTCGGCAGATCGCAGAGAAACTGGTCAATGTTGTCGCTGGAGGTGTTTCAGCACGTTGAACAACATTCGAAGCCGTGAAATATACTCGTTGACCATTCTCCAGATGTTGTGTTGTGTCCACGAATTGTTTAATTTTTTAATTGTATCATGCACACTTGGTAAAATCTCTATTTGTATTTATATCCTGAACCCGGATGTCACACGCAGGTAGCTATAGCTGTCTGCCTGTTTCATACATTTCTGCTGAGTGGAGTAACATGACCATATCCTGGAAAAATTATGATAATTGTGGTTAGTTTCTTCTATTATATTAAATTTGATCTAATACTCGTAGATTTTACCGAACTTTTCGAATTGCGCAAAGTTTCAGTAGATGAAATAATTTTGACAGCATTCGAAGACTGTTATTTGATAAGGTACAAAAGTTACTTTTGGCCTTTTGGGTTTTTACAATGAAAAAAAAATTAAATACATCAAACGTGAAGGGAAAATTACTAAATTCAGATAGGTGTATCCAACTTGTCAGTATTTTTTCATGGTAAACACTTGTAATGTTGTCGACAGAAGATTTTGAAAAATGTTTGTACACATAAATAATGATAAGCAGGATATGATTTTGAAGTCAAAACGTGGCGCTCTGTCTTCATTCCAAAATGATGGCCTTTTAAAGACCAGATGAAGGTCTATAGTAGTTGACTAGTCTGAGNGGAGAAAGAAGATTTTGGCTTGCTACTTCTCCATCTTTATACAAAAAATGTGAGAATATTCTAAAGAAAGAAAGAAAGCAATTGATTTCAAAGTGAACGCTTTGCAAAGATGTGTAGGTCCTGCAAAAAGTAGCTTTCAAACACAAACTGGAAGAAAAAGCCCTCTTGAAACAACTACTTTCATATAAACATTAAATTACACGAAAGATAAAATACTTTCGAAACAAATACTTTTATACGCACATTTAACTATACATAATGGGTATATTTTTTGTCAGAGCTGTTTTCTGCTAGTTCATTATGCAATTGACAAATTTAAGGTTGAACATTCACGTTGGTACAACTGCTTCGCTCGAATATTTTTTTCAAGACAAAACACAAGCACTACAGGAAAATCTTTAAGGCGCTCTAACAAGGACAGTATTATCATCGCAAATCTTTCAGATCGAATATAACCACTCAAGTTGGATTTAGCATTTTGAAATTTGATGGGTATATTTCAATATATGGTCTATGATTATGAATGATATCCTTTTTTTTGTAGGTTAGTTTAAAGTTGGTTGGTCTTCTAAAAGAAAGGAAAAAGTTATTGATCAAGAATTAATATGAAACTATGGCTTTTCATTTTCACATTCTTTTTGTGAAACATAATCAAACATTTTCTTCAATCTCACCTATAGTTGTGATGACTGTGCTGGCAAAGAAAAATGATTGACCAAAACTCCAATTAGGCTCTGAAGTGGCATTTTCGATAGCTGAAACTCCACGATTATTTGCTCTCACTATTTCTACTATCAGTTCTTCCAAATCTGCATCTGAAATGAAAATGAATTTTTGAGAAATTCAAATTTGAATATTTGGAGTCATTAATGTAATGTAATGATAATAATTTCACATGTTCACATTTATTTCACATGTTCACATATATACAAGTTTCTGCCTCATTAGCTGTCATCAGTACGGTATAGCCAAATGCAGGGATTAGGCAATACTTGGCTGCAGAAACAACACAAATGCAAGGAGTCATCAACAGAAGCCAACCGCACTTTATGATTTTAGTCAGGTCAGCTACCTGCATGACATCTACCTGCATCATGCCACCAATGGATCATTACACGCAGAGCGCTACACATAATTACGCTCCTGAAGAACTGGCTTGTTTGGGTGCAGAAGTTCATACTATTCTAACAAAAGGGGCTGACATCTGGCAAATTAACACCGCCATGTACAGCGCCGTCCAACCGCTTTCCAAATTGAAAGAACAAAATCCCGGCCTTGCGCTTCGGAAGATTGAACGACGTGTACACAACATGAGGGATAAGATTACGTTGGCGAAACAACACGCGTCTCGGATGTGTGCTGGATTACAGGGCGCCCAACAGACCTTTCACGCCCACAGTGCGGCAAATAGTCCCCAAATTACGATGTCTCTATCACACTTTGCAAGAAACCGCAAGAAATCGCAAGAAACCTTCTCGCTTATTCCAAGAGCCTCCACGTGTTGTGAACACCCGCAGCCACTCAAATTAGACACTAGCATAGTTCGAAGCTTTCAGCAGAGAGCTTCGACAGTCTGACGCCGGATGATGTTCGAACAACCCTTGTGGGTTTCAAGAACTTTGCTGCTCCATTCCCAGATGTACTGAATTTGATAGAAAAAACTACCAAGCACCCAGCGTCATCTGGCCAGAATTTTCAACTCGAGGCTGAACGGAGAGCAGACGATTCCAGATTGGTTTGTCGGCGGACGGAACATTCTTAACCCCAAAAGCGGGGATTTGTCGATTCCTAAGAAGAACAGACCGATAACATGGTTAAATTCAATTCATGTTATAAGTTGTTTACGATCATTTTATACATACGAATACTCACCGCAGTTGACTAAGCAGATAGGGTTGAAGAGACGAGCCACTGTATGTAAAGAGAACCTGCACATCGATAGATGTGTAACGCAGGACTCGATACAGTATATTGGGGGATATTGAATCCGTTGTGGGGAACGAGAAGTGCCGCATTCGTTTGAACTATTCGTTTCCCACCCCCAGGCTCATACAAGCTAATGAGCCTAATGTAGTCCTTCTCGACCACCAGTACAAGACGATATTAGTCTTGGAGTTTTTAGCTCCTGACGAGACGAATATCGTCCGAAAAGTTGAGAAAAAAGAATGAAATATCGAGTTTTTTGCTTCCAACTCCGCAGACTCTATCCAGACCACTGTCAAGGTGGTTGTTCTGTCCTTGTCCCTGTCCTGTCTGTCCTTGTCCCTCTCTAAATCAAAATCATGCCAGCTTGCCGCACTAAGGCAGAAATCTTAGCCGGAAAAATGCACAAGGCTGTCATTCTTGACTGCGCCACACCACATGATTCTCGGATCCAATTGTCACTTACCTCACGGTGTGGTGAGTGGTCGTTGGTTGATAATGTCGGCTCGCCCTCCAGAATTTATCGGGGATTTTTCAAGGACAAAACACAAGCACTACAGGACTACATATTGGTGTCCATTTTAATCCCCAACAAACTTATCGAAGCAGAAAGCGGAATTGCCTGTCCTGACATTATTATATCCGGTTCGGAGACATTAATCTTTTTGAAGAAAACCGATGCCTGAGTTTTTGTGGCATTGAATTGAACCTGGGAGATATGGTCTTACCATCGCAAACGTAGGTTGGGAAAAAATATAATTAATTTATCGGTAAATAATACATAAATATGAAGTGAAGGATGTAGGGAACACTATACTTTGATGAATAAACTGATAAATCCAATGAGGGTAAAACCCTGGTGTGGGTAAAGAACAGAACAATTATGACAGTTTAAAACGATAAGGTTGAAAAAATTCAGATTCAGATATAAAATAGAATAAAATGAACATTTAAAATTCACAGTTTTTGTATCAATAAAAACACTACAATAAATTAGTACAATTAAGAGAGTCACTCAATAAAATAACATTAAATTTATATTTAATGTATAAGCACAATGAACATCTGAAAGTACAATATTTGTATGGACTATGTGTATTTGATAATGAAGCCCTTTAGTCCAATTTCTATCCGGTACTAATATGCTCAATAAATGACGAACTGTTTTAACTAAACGTCTCTTTAAATTGAGAGATACTTTCGTGGTTAAGTTTTATTGTGGATGTATTTCCAGATATTCTTCAATTTCGATAAGCATTTAAGTTACGAAAAAATCTATAACTACTGAAATTTCAAATCGATACCTCATTACAGACGGGCTGACATATACAGGGTGTAATTTTGAAAATGTACTACTCTCCAACGCGATTATTTCTTTTTGCTCATTTACTTTACTAATTACATATATGATTTAAACTAGTCTTGGGATATCTCTCATTAAACAGTGTTGCCGTTCTTCTTGACATTTTCCTAAATAATAATTTCATTTCTTCATTGGAGTGGAAACACATTTGTTTAAATAATTTAATAAACACGCCAAATCCAACTAGAAGAGCTAATTTTACAATAACGTAATTACGGTAATGAAAATGGTCTGGGAAATGATAAATGAAAAATAATTTAACGAAAAACTGGAGAATGCTTTACCTAGGCTCTTTTTTTATGGCATGTAAATTGTATTCAACTTACGAAATGTGGCAAAATAGGTGACCTCCAAATTAGTGATTGACGTTTATTTTCTTATTTTTTGACAACTCTGTAGCTAATTTGTCATTCGTGAATACCATACATGTGCTAGTTTAGGTACATTCTTTCTAATAATAGTTTTTAACGGAATGCCATATAAACTCCTTCTTCATTCTGTTGAATAATAGAAGTAAACATACTTTAAACAATTACAGTTATGTAATATGAATTCAATTTCTTCTATTTTATTTCATTAAAGTAATATTACAAAGCGTTTTTGATACGTAAACTTGTTTACTGTTTTCAGCAGATTCATTTCGAATCGCTAACAATTTGATATTTTTCAAAAGTTAAGTTTCATCATCTCCACGAAAAAGTTGGGGTCTCTTACGTCAATTTTGGAAATTCTGGATACGAAACTATAGATCACAGAGTAGAATTGGAACTAAGGACTGATTACTGACATAATTTCTCAATCAATCTCAACCATCTTCTGTTTTTTTTAACTTCTAAGTTATTTCGAGAAGGCACTTTTAAATTATTGCGAGTAGAAAAGGAAGTGTTATTGTGTCATTCCTTGTTTTGATTTGATGTCATGGAAAAACTTGAGTTATTTATATTTTCGTCGTAGCACAAAACAGATAACGTTATGATAATTATTACGGAATTCATAATTAATATTTAAAGGAATGAGTATTTTGGCAAAGTATCTAAAGTAGGACACAATTATCATATTTTATCTATGAGTTGCTAAATCGGAAACATCGTCCAACCAACTTTATTGATAAATAGTAGATATGATTATTTAAACGAACTGAGAATATAAATAATTTTTATATTTTAGTGAGATTCTCGTTTCAGATTCGATCAGCGAAGCGTTCTTAAGCACTACTTCTTCGAAAGGCATCATAAACAGATTTGCAATTACCGTCACCCCATCACCCCATCGAAAGTTAGAAACAATGAATTTTAAATGATATTGATGAACGTCATGGATCATTTGATATTTATATTAAAATATTGAACAAATAACAAAACACAATGAAATCAAAGACACAAAAAAATTATTTTTATCTTACAATTAAAATCTTTTTTTTTTCTATCTTTGAAAGCTACAAACTCAGAAATTCTTCATCACAATTTATATTTTGCAATGCTTCGTGTTCGATGGCTGATATAATAAGCTTGCTAAGCCGCAATTGGGTCATTATTCAACACAAATATTTTTTTAATAATTTCAGTTTACTGAAATTCCTTTCACAGGACAAAGTATTTGTACGATCTCAAACAATGAAGCCACATCTTGAAGAGACTTCGACCTTGTTTGGAGTTCAACTCTGAACCGGTCAAGACATTCCAACATATCTTTTTGAAGTTCTTCTTCCAGTGCGAGTCCTGCATCACTGACCATCTCACCAACCACTTGTTTACGACGAAGTCGTCTTTCTATTGGGAAATCGTAGTCTTCCGATTTTTTGTAGCATTATCTATTGCCTCTTCCACAATGTAACCCCGTTTTTCTTCGATATAAAGACGAAGTGCCTCTACTTTTGTAGCAGTGTAGTCTAGTCAAGCCTTTTCTTTACAATGCAATCTGTCCAGCATTTATTTCCCGAAGAACATCATACCAGAAGAATAGATAGCATAAAAAAGTGTGATGTACACGCAGGCATGAGGTTTTGTGCAGCACCTCTGGTGTCTATATTTTCTCGTCTCTCTTCTATAGATACTTTCACGGAAGGTGTTCAGGTGACTTGGCACCAAGAGCGGAACATATTAGAAATACGCGACGGACTGTGGCTGCTCATCATTTTGAGGTTCAACTCAGTACACCTCGAATTTCACTGTTTAAGAACTCTTTCATCTGGAGAACTGCGTTTATGTGGAATACACTTCCTGAAAATGTTTTTCCAAATGGATTTAACCTCCAGCGATTCAAATTCAATGTGAATCGCTACTTTTGCCCAAGCAACGCTCTGAGAGCGCCTTAAGGATTTTCCTTCAAAATTATCTGCTAGTGCTTTTACCGCACGATAATGAGCACCCCGATGCGTTGTTGAGAGTTTTCCAACAGTTAATTTGATGTGTTTCATAAGCACTTCCAAACGGCTAGTGGAGGCGAAAAAAATTTAAAAAATGGTCTCTACCGTTCCAAAAAGTGTAACGCAAGATACATTTTGGGCAAATGAATATTGACCACACAAAA